TGGATCTGACTTTGCTTAAATTTTGAAGAGAATAAAAAATTATTTTGTTGTCAAAGATCTTTTTATCCGGGGGTTAATTTTATTTTGCCGGAGACGTCCTTGTACGATCTGAGCGTACGGCACTCGGATCCACAATATGTGTAGTTCAAATAGTGAAAAGAGAAAAACCATTCTTGACCATTTTGATACTCCTTTAACAATTCTCTAAAGATTCTTAAACAAAAAGCAAGAAGAAAGAAACCTTTCTAGATTATTTTGAGCATCTACTTTGACAAAGGTAGCTTAAGATGATGAACCAAAAAAAAAGAGACAAAATATATCTGTTCATCTGTAACGATCTAAACCGGCATCTTCAGTACGAGCTGACCCTCCATAACACTGCAACATAAAATAAAACACATCAACATTGCCAAAAGGGCCCAAGTCATTACAACAAATTTCATCATTTATATATGCATCTATCAAGTTAGTGTGTTGCACTGATAGATTACCTTTTGGCATAGTAGTAACAGAAGTCGGCAAGGATGAATGTTTGTACAATCTCGGCTACTAGAGCCACAGGGAACCAAAAGTAACCAGCCCCCATCAGCCACAAGTAATGTCCACTAGTCTCAAAGACCTACATTTTCAGACCATTGGTCTCTTAAACTTAAACCATGGAAGCCTAATGATGCTTAATGATTAAGGGAAGAAGAACGTTAACGTTACCTGGATAAGCCAATGAGCGCATGCCAAGAATCTAGCGACTCCCAGTGCAAACACGTAATGAGCTGCGAAAGGCTCTATGATCTGAAATGATTATTAATTCGAGAAGATCTATGTTAAACTTGTTATTTTATATATAATTGGACTAATCTTGGACCTAAGTCTAGACTAATCCTTAGATATGTAGAAGACCGGATGTTTTTGCCACTTAAAACGTCTACAGTGTAGCGGATATAAGACCAACATGACGAATACTCAACCACTAAACCATTGTTAAATTGCTAACACTACATTGGCAGAAATAATCAAAAGGTACATAGATATGTCCAAAAAATGGCTTACCTGGGCATTCTGCATCAACCGAAGCTGAGGCAGAACAGAGACAGATTCCAAGTAAACGCAAAACGCCCACATGACACGTGTGATGTAAGAATAACTCGTATGCGGGTTGATAAGCAATGCAAGGATAGCAGATGGTACAAGCTATGGGAAAAACATGTTACTTAGTTAACCATATATATGAAAGGAGAAACAAACAAATCACAAAACACACTCTTTAAGATTAAATTCAAAGCATATATTAATTAAAATTACCACATAGTAGTTGTGGCAATTGTCAAGAGTCTTGACATAAGAAGATATGAGCTTGACTCGAATCATATAAATAACCCATAGAGTAGAAACGAAGGTGGCGAAATCGAGAACTGTATGTATATCACCTTCCATGCTTATGCTGCAGATCAATCTCACAGCTAGAAATATTGCTGTCACTTCTTGAGACCTTAAAGACAGACCTAATCATTTTTTTTCAAAGACAAACCTAATCATTTACATTTTCAAATCAATAAATTCCAAAAACATAAATGTTCACAAAGGTATACGGTGGGATTCTTGTTGTTATTACCGGAGCAAGTCTTTTGTCGGGTGAGTTTGTAGATGAGGATTAAGATTCCGGCGGCATGGATGAGCTCGGAGGCGACAAAAAAGTGGTTGTGATTCTTAACGGTGAATTTGAGAAGGACGACGAGGATCAGAGACAGGATTATACCTAAAGCTATCTTAACCTTGTTCGATTGCTGTCTCAGCCACCCGAAAGCCACGTTCACGGCGGAGACGCCTCTTCTCTTCCCCATGATTCGATCTGATTGGCAAAATCTCTCTGTCTCTCTCTTTGTGTCTCAGAGCTTTTGTGCGACGTTCCTGAAATTGAAGGATACGTTTTGGTGAGTGAGCGGAGACACGACGAGGGCATGCGGATGGTGACGTGGCCACTGTTTTTTTATGGTCTGATCGACGAATCGAATTACGACACGTGTGACTGAGCTTTGTTTTTAACTTTTGTTTTGAAAGGGCCTTTATAAGGAAAGAAAGTTATATCTTTTGATTTTGTTGCTCGTTTTGTAAAGATTATTATCGGAATAACTTTGGAGGTCAAAATCAAAATCTTGGACTAGAAAAAATGGGTTTGGTTTCTTGATTTGGATACTTGGATCGAATTACGTAAATGTGATTATGGGATCTTCTTTTTGATAAAAAAAAAATGGTTAGAGGTTGGATATACGTAACGTC